ACATTCAAACAAATTATATAGGAAGCATTATAAGGAGGGCTTCTATTACCAAACCAAATATAAATGAAAAATACTGAAAAACAAAAAAGTTAGAAAATACGATTTTTTAAAATTTGCATCTCGTAACGACCGGAAGTACTGACGACGCACGAAAAGGCGATTCTGCAAATCACAAAGTCATGATCTATCATCTCCAATAAGTCTCCAGTTCATATCCTTAGTCATTTTCGATAAAAGTGCGCGACAAAATCGCATTTTAAAATCAGGAAATTGTCCATAACTTGGCACCAGAAGCGAATTTTCCAAATTACTCTTCGGATGTAACAACTTCATATAATGACGCATATTTTGTGAAAGTTTCATGAAAAACTACTGAGTAGTTTTTGAGAAATCGCCTGCACAAAATTTTGTCAAAAAAAATAATAATAATAAGAATAATAAGAAACAGTAGAATCACTATAAGGTCTTCCGTGAAGACGGAAGACCTTAATAATAAGAAACAGTAGAATCACTATAAGGTCTTCCGTGAAGACGGAAGACCTTAATAATAATAAGAAACAGAGTAAAAACAATATGTTCCCCAACTTCGTTTGGGGAACATAATGAGAATGACAAATTGAGTTAATTGCAGACCCACGAGAATTTTGTATCAGATCCCCACAGCTGCTTCTCTGGGATTTGATTTTCGTGATCACAAATATAAATCAACATATTTAGTAATTATTTCTGTGACAGCTGATAAATCTATATATGAAGAGAAATTGTATTAAATGTGTTGAGCCAATACTTGTTAACGAATTCCTAAATGGATAAAAAAAATGGACATAGTGTGAAGCAAATAAAGGTTTTTTAAAGGTTTTTTTTTCCTTTGAATTCTTGTTGCTATCAAAATAAGATAATGGAACCCCCATACTATGGAATCCGGATAGGGCCATGCAGTTCACTATCGCATCATCGCACCATCGAGGTTTGGGTTGATAATGCGATGACACGATAATGCGATGACGATGAAGCGATGGTGCGATAACGATGAAGTGATGGTGCGATAGTGCGATGACGATGAAGCGATGGCGCGATAATGCGATGACGATGGTACGATAGCACGATGAAGCGATGGTGCTATGACGCGATGGTGCGATAGCGATGACACTATGGTGCGATAACGATGGCGCGATGGTACGATGACGATGAAGCGATATTCACTTTTACTCTATCGTTCTATCGCACCATCGTCATTGCATTATCGCGCCATCGCATCATCGTCATCGCGCTATCGCACCATAGCTCTATCGTCATCGCACCATCGCTTCATCGTTATCGCGCCATCGCCTTGTGCACACATCAAGTTCACTGGAGTTGATTATAATAATTGCTTGAGTTTTTGATTCACAATATCTTTGTGGTTTTTGGAGATAAGGTCTTCCAACAATCTGCGTGAATTCCTAATGGGAACACAGTGTGCCTATATATAATGTATAATTCAAACTATATGAGAAGAAGAAACACTTGCTTTGGCCTGCAACGACATTCAGATACCGCAGTATATTGACGACGTATTCTCAATTAACAACACTCCATTAAATAAAGAACTTGATATAGCTTAGGCTAATGAACATAAAAGATACCAGCAAATCAGACACATTTAATTCAAATACGTTAATGGTATACAACATAAAAATACCTAACTTGTATACTTCAACTTCCCTTATTGTATATAGAACTATACACGTAATTTGAAGTTTTTGCTGCCATTTGATACTATTCGCGAAAGCAGGCTCTACATACTAGGAACAATTTCTAAATCAGAAGAAGCTGTCGAGACTGCAGCTCAACTGGTTTGTACCTATAACAAACCATCTCTGTGTAGTCTTACTGCATGTCACGTTAAAATCAGACCAATCTGTATATATAGGAAGATAAGTGTTCCAAAAGTATTTCTCAAGAAGATTTTTCTACTTTTAGTAACCATCATGTGGCAACTCAGCTCATCAAAAATCAAAAACCGACATAGATTTATGTACCTTAGTGTTGTCTACTTGTGTGCAAAATTATATTGAAATCAGACCAAATAACAGAAATTTCTACTTTAAGTAATATAGGTCTATCATATGTCTTAATGTAGTTTGCCTTTATTCCATGTTATAATACTAGTATTGAAAGCAGACCAAAACTGTAAGAAGAGAAGTATTTTGAAAATATTGTTTACAGACAAACGAACGGCCAGACAGACGACGAACGTCTTACTATTGCATACGTTCTTCTGGTCTCTGAAAGGTTTTCACAAACAAGTTGATAAGAACAAGAATATCAACAGTGCTAGTCAACATTTTGCAAGTTTTGGGGGTGAAAGGGTGACCTTTCCAGCATATAGTATAATTATCATTTAGTTGAATTCAGACTTATCTGTTGTGACCAGTGGACAGCTGGGGGTGCTTACTCCTCTTTGGCACCTGATCCCACCTCCGATTAAGAGGTCCTGATTACTCTCCTCCCAATTTGAATTGTTTCAATCATTATGGCCTTTTGAACTTGATTACATTTCGTTGTCTCCATATTTTATTTGTGAAACTCAGAGATTTGGAGAATAATAATGAAGACTTAGTATATCTTTAAAAACATGAGATTGTGGAACTAGGTACATGTAATTATGAATATTAATTTATATTGCAGAATTTCACGATGAAATTGAATGTATTGTAAGAGATGGAGTGAAACAGTTACCTCGTACACCAGTCAGCAAGGATAGCGTGTATTATCTGACGTCATTCCACGCGCTCGAGCAGACGCCATCAATGGAGGAGTTGTGGAGCACGTGGAGTGGCGCGAAATTCATTCTCTGGAACTGTCCCAGGGTCCTTAAGCTTCGAAGGATAACTTTTCTCAGGGCAACGATGCGAACTGAAAATTTTGCATACTTGATCCTCTGTGAGTGTGAAAACGGAATGGAACACTTAAATGTGGCCATGGATTTCTTTGAGACTCTGAAAACCCGTCGTTGTGGCTTAGTTGGCCTATATAAAGTTGAGCGTTACTACATTCCACCCCACCACAAGTCTGATAAATAGACAAGTGATCGAATTATTGCAATCGTTTTCTGTTCCCGTTATTTATAATAAGATATAAATCATAGTATATGTAGTCGTCGACATTCTTATTTTAATTCCATTTTATTGAGCAGATGATGATGATGTTTATCGTTCACCATTGATATTCTGTACGTCATATCAATTCTGTGAAACATTTGTAAAAGGTTGTAGTGATTCACAATGTTATTTGTAACCGTTTCACCATTGCCAAGTTGTTCTCTGTATATGTATATATTGATTATATTTCCATACAACCTTTTTAAGTTTTTATTATTAAATATACTTAAAAAAATATACAATTTCAGTAGTCTATTTTTTCATTTTTGGTACAATGTAATGAACCGCAGTAATTAGCTAGCGTCAGATCTGTCTTCTTTTTTAAAATATATATATGATATAAAAGCTGTTTATCACTTTTTATACCAAAGGATATGGTTTTGTGGATTTCTTCATTGTTGGAGGAGTGTCATCCAATCCTAGTGATATTGCAGGAATCAGATCAGGTGTCAGCAAAAATTTCTGAAGGGATGAAAAACAGTACAAAATATACCAATAAAGACTGATATATAACTTTGAAATGCGTGAAAATTGGTGGACTTTAAGCAATTCAATATATAACGAACTTCAAGGGACTTTTGAACAATTTTGAGATCACGATGAAAAAGAAATGAGCATAATTTAGATAAGGGGCAAAATTTTAATATTGGACAAAATTTAAATTTTTGTAAATTGCTTTGGTAGAGTATGTTTATTTCAAAATGCTACCATACCGTAATTGATCAATTTGAACCATTCATTTAGTATATGTACAAAACATGGCCATTATACATTGAATACCTTTAAAAGGCTATTTGATCTCTCTACATGCATGACTGTATATTCCGACCTGGTTACCCTGTACACAATCTTCATTGTTCTTTGCTCTTGGTGGCGGTGGTGGTGGGCTTCCATTTCGTCCCAGTTTGTTATGATGATCAAAAGGTTTCTCATTAGTCCTTTTGCAAAAAATCCAACTAAATATATTCCATGTACATACAAAGAAAGATAACTCCAATACATTTTATGAGGATGTAGTTACTAGACAAAATGAAGTTTATTTATCCACGCGTTTTTTATTTAGACAAAGTTTTTATGGAGGTACAATAATCAATGAGTTTACCAGTATCCTTAAAATTGTCTGGTGATACAAAAGTAAAAAAAAAAAATAGAGGATTAAAATGAGTCTCATCCGCTCCACTGTCAGTAGAATGACATTTTTAAAAATTAATATTTATGTTCATTTATCAGTTTAATTTCTTTTTGTCTTAATAGTTTTGATATTTATTTTATAATAAAAAGTGTTGCATATAAACTTAAGTTTCTGTCCTTTGGAACTTATAAGTTTAATTAAAAGAAATAATGGAGCCTTATTATAATGGTTGTACCTAACTTAAGTTATATTTTAAAAATTGTCATGGGACACGAACGATAAATTCTGATGTATACAAACCTTATCACAGTTTAAATATGTTTAACACAGATAAAAACAGGATGATAAATTGAGACACTAGCTGTGTACATGTTCGCATTTCCGTTTCCTGATCGCATTTTGTATATCACACCCTCGGAAATCTTTTAAGCTATTTGATTTGATATGTCAGGGATTACGGTAACTGATGATGATTTAATAATAATGATGAGTCTGCAAACGTTTCAAAAATAATCCAGTTGACTTAAATAGGTAGCTTTTTTTTATTACGGTGTGAAACATTTCCGCAATTTAAAGATAACATTGCGCTGCGAAAGCGCAGAATCTCAATTCACCTTACAGATAAACACGTGTGTTTTATTTTCCGAAAGTGGCTAGATAAACAGTGCAGTGTTTGTGGAAAAATCAGTGGAATAACGCAATTGTGTGAGGAAACACAAAGGACGAGGTTTGCTGTAAAAGTAATGTTATCTCCTTAAATCTATTGCATATATTTAGCATAGTGAACAAACTACGTGACCCGAGTGTAGGTGTACTTGTTTTGCATACAGACATGGCACATGTGGAAAATTCCAACAAAAAATCCTGCGACATCTGTCAGCGTATGAACTCGGTTGAACTTGCTACGTCACGATGTATCGACTGCTGTGACGATCTGTGCGAGAAATGCGCCAACTGCCACCACGCTAACCGTTTGTCTATGGAACACCGCGTGCTGTCGCTAGATGATGCAGAAACAGCGGACTGTTGTTCTAACATGACATTTTTTTGTGAAAAACATGCTGATCGGAAACTAGAGGTGTATTGTTTTGATCATGAACAGGCTTGTTGTTTGATGTGTGCAACGACAGAGCATCGAAAATGTGAGAAGGTTGAAAATTTGGAGGAATGTGCTAAACAGGCAAGTGATAGTAATGAAGTAAAGAAATTGCGAGAATTGCTGGAAAATTTGAAAGGAGAATGTACAGACGATACAGCTAACATTACTAAAAGTAAAGAGAAATTCCATGTTCAAGTTAATGATGTTCGTTCGCATATACGATCAATAAAACAGTCGATGGTGGAATTTTTGAACGAGAAAGAGGCTGAATTTATAGAACAACTAGAGAGGGTTGAGAGGGACAAAAACACACAATTTGTGGATAAGATCGAAATGTTATCCGACTTTCAGGTATATCTTGATAACGACATTGAAAAATTAAAAAATCCAAACGATAAAAACAAGATATCACTTTTCCTTGCAATGAAGGAAATACAGAAAAATTATAAATCCCTTAAAGAAAATTTAGGTGCAGTTCAATCCAGTTATAAAAGTGTTGATATAAAATTAGAGGATGACGCCATTCTGACAAAAGTTCTGCAAGAACCAAAACCATTTGGCGAACTTGTTGTCGAGGAAACGGACACAAATTCAAAGACAGATTATTTGAATTCCACATTAGTTCTGGAAAGTGTCTTGGTTAAATCTGGATGCAGACTGACAGACGTTGAAGCCATTAGAGACGACCATGTTCTTGCAATATGCGACAATCACAATTTATTGGATCTCTTCCATATTAACGAATGTCATGTTGCTTCGAGTAAATTGTCAGGGAAACCTTGGGCAATGACAAAAACAGGTGAATTGTCGGTTGCAGTCACCATTCGCTCACCCCGTTCAAGCATAGAATTTGTTGATTTGGCAATGGACAAAAGCCCCTTTCTAACTACTACCAAAATACTCAATCTATCATTCAAACCGAATGGAATTGCTTGTGACAATGGTACTCTCATTGTCTCCTCAACCGATGGATTGCTCCGACATATTGACGACAACGGAACCATTCTACACACCGTAACAGTCAAAAAGGGCTACGTATATGGACTTTGTCTTTATTCTAGACGTATCATTTATTCGCACCATATTGAAAATGGTAAAGTTTACGTTCTGCATGATGATAAACTGGGAACCCAAGAATTTACATTCGAACACGAACATTTGAGCTATCCTCTAGGAGTTTCTTGTGATCCTGATGGTAATATCTACATTGTGGGGTGCAGTACCAACAATGTATTACAAATGAACATGAATGGTGAATTTGTGAGACAGATTCTTTCTAAAGACAAAGACAAAGCAATCGACAATCCGATGGCAGTTCGTGTAGCTGTAATGGGATCTAGACCGAGGCTTTTACTAACATGTCAGAACGAAGTCAGACTGTACAATTTTGAATCTTGTGGATCAAAAAGTCAGACCGAGGAGAAGTAAAACTGTAGCGCAAAAATGTCAACAGATTCAACAAAGAAGATGTTGTTTGTTTTATTTAAATTTTCTTTAACTTCCAAGACAGGACATTGATAATCATGTTCATCGTGTTTGAGTTGTCGGAAAAACTTTTGTATGCCGTATAGCCATTTATGAATGTTCTTATTTAGTTTGATTGATATGCTTTGTTTTGGTTTTATTTCTTTTTGGTTTGTTTTATGATAAATTAGGACTAAAAATGAATTAGAAAAAGATTAAAATTTTGGAAAACAATGTTGTTGTTAATTTAGTTGAATTTATTTTGAGCATGTTAGTGTACCTTAATAGGATAAGATTAAAAACAGTTAGTTTCGTTTCGATGATTTTTGTCGGAAATACGGTCCAACATCTCATCGACCAGTCCAACATCTCCCTCGGTCATCGATTTTTTTTACGCCTGCTCAGTAAATCATTACGAATGTTAGACTATTTTTCATATACATTTGTATAGGAATGAACTTTTAAAGGTATAACAATGCGTTCTTTCAATCCTCGAACCAAACTGTCTGCCTGAGGCCGTGTTTGGTTCTTGGGTCCAACAAAATGCATGTTGCCCTCGAATTCAGTCAATAAATGTGTAATGTTTAAAAACGTATTTAACTGCAAATTTTGACAGGGCTTCAATCGTTAACAAATTTCAAGATTTTTCAGCTCCATGTATAAGCTTTCTGATTAGATTCCACTGAACGTTCAAAAAGTATTTTCTTATGTAAAAAGAGAACAGATAACTTATGACAGAGTAATGCACTGGAATAGGATATTGACAAGTTGAAAAATGAAGTTTTTTTAAAAAAGGGAACACAAGACTCATCTTTTTAGAGAGGCCTTTCTTTGAAATGAAATATATACATACGTATGACTTGTATTAATGTATGACTGTATTTTTCAGGTTTTCTTAATTTTTTTATAGGTGTATGTAGGATTATTTTATTCTTCCTTTTATTATGTAGATTACAATATCTACAGGTATGTAAAGCGCTTAGAGTATAAATAAAAGATATGGCGCTATATAAAATTTTTATTTTATAATTTATATATCTTCTTTCATACGAAATCAAAGCATGTCAATTGAAAATCAATTAACTCCCGTAACAATTTTGTTTTTATTATCACACACGTACAGAATGCAGATTTCACAAAGAACTAAAACGTACCTGTAAGTGACCACGAACCCTTACATGATTGATTCTAGTTGCGAGTCAGGTAAATTAGACCATAAAAGAATGAAATGGACAAAAAAAGACTGTGTTCCTTAAAAATTTAATTTCCGTATAAACGGTCTAACGGTAATTCAAGAAATTATTCATTAGAAATCAGGCGCGGATTCAGAATTTTTTTCCAGGGGGAGGGGGGGGGGTTCCACCCCAGTCAAGAAATAAATTCCAACCCAGAAATTTCTTGACAAGCAAAAAAAAATAAAAATGAAAAGACGTACATTCATTTCCCAAAAGTGAAAAACCTATTTCGTGTGTGTGTGTGTGTGCGTGTGTTGGGGGGGGGGGGGTAAAAGATGCTTCCTATAAATGCCTTTTCATACCATTATCACATAGATCCGTACAGAAGCCCGTTGGTGCCACGTACGATAAATATTTTATCTGGCGGCCGCTACTTTAAAATATATGGCGGCCGCCACATAATTTATCTGGCGGCCGCCACACATTTATCTGGCGGCCGCTATATAACATCTGGCAGCCGCCAAATATTTACCCGCTACATAATATTTGGCGGCCGCCACATAATCTATATGGCGTCCGCCAGATAACACCTGGCTTCCTGATGCGCGCGCATGCTTATGTTTTAACGTGTGATTTCAGAGGTGGATACAGTGTAAAAATTATAATAGCAATATCAATCAACCAAACTTGTAAGAGATTTATTATGAACCAACACTCCAATCCAACTTCTAGTAGATATGTTTCTGCATAGAACAGATCAATATTTGATTTGAATTATGCAAGTATTTGTAGAGTGTTTCGGTTATTAAGAAGCCTCATCAGGGATCAGGGACAGAAATCATGGAGTTAGTTTTAGGTGAGACCGGGTTATCTCGTCACCTATATTCTTGTATTTGCTGTAAGCTATGATTGGTTGAGAATTAAATAAAGTTTTGCATTTTGATTTTCTAAGAATGGTGTTCCAATATTTCAGAATTCGTTTTTTATCAATTAACTTTTTTATCAATAAGCAGCGGCTGTGTCAAAATCCATCTTCTTAACCCAATAACACTCACCTTTTGCAAAATAATTTATGTGGCGGCGTCCAGATAAAATATTTTTCGTACGTGGCACCAACGGGCTTCCGTAGATCTGTGTTTCCGAGGAGGGGTCACCGTTTTCTAGGAGGGGGCACCCCCCCCCCCTCTAGATCCGCGAATAGAAATTATAAAAGTTTGTATTATTTTTACGGCGAATACTTCATACTTTTGATCAGCATCTTTAAATAAATGTTACTTTTATTCAATTTTTAATGCTGGGAATTTTTCGTGTTGATTACTTCCGTAACGATATTTTTGCAGAAGGTTTAATATCGGATCAATGCATGCGAGACTTCAAACCTAATATTTAGTGTTATACATACTGAACGTAAGAAAATAAAAAATGTGTAAAGTTCAGGTTTATTTAAAACTAATAGGTCTTAGCTGTTTAATTAAGCAATAACTTCCGCGTAATATAGCCTTAAAACGAATGGTAAATTGAAATTGTTATAAAAACTAAAAAGTTAAAGATACTGTTGAGTATAATTTTTCTCAAGTGCAGAGATATGTTCCTTAGTGAAATAAAGTGTGCAATTGGCTGTTTGAAAAAATTATTATTTTTTTTTTTGGTTATGATATATACCCTAAATTCACAGGCATTTTATTCTTTTTAAATCTGGGTTCGAGTCACCTTTTCCCTATTTTTGATTCTAATATGTACTTTATGTTATAAATAATGTTACAAAAGGGTTATATTATTGATAACATATAGTGCATATTAGAATAGAAACATAGGAAAAAAGGTGATTCGAACCCAGATTTAAAAAGAAAAAAATGGAAAAGGGGGGTGAGGGGGGGGGGGGGGGGGTACATACCCCAAGTGTCTGTGCCTAAATTGACCCGTAGAATGACTGATAATACTTTAAATTTACGCGAATGTGGGTTGGTTATGTGAGGTTATTTCAATGCATTGAATTTGCCTGAGTTTTTAACTTTCCCCCAAATAGTTCGGTGTAGGCCTACTCCAATGTATATTGTAATCTACTTACATGTATTACCATTAAAAACGTTTTTACTGAGCTAGCAGGATTTGAAGCTAAGT